GAAACGTTTGTGGCATTTCGCCATGTAATCGGCTATCGTGTGCTCGCAGTGGCCGAAGTCGCCGCTGCGCAACGATTCCAGGACCTTCGTGCAGCTCGACAACGTGACACCCTCGAGCTCCTCGATGCTCGTCACTAGGCTGAGGGCCTTCGACTGGGCAGAAGGGTCCAGGACGTACAACATCTTCGCGCCCTGGAGCAAATGCGGCAGTGAGTTTCGATTCTTCTTCAGGAACTCCGCGTTCAGCTGGCCGGCCGTCGAGTTCGCGTAGATACCGGCGGTCTGGTGCTTCACCACCTCACCGACTGCACCCTCTAACGGCGAACGGCTGGTGTGCAGTATGAAACGCACCAGACACGTGTGGAGATCCGGATTATTCGCGTCCAGCCCGTTCGCGCGTTTTATCGACTTCAGCATCAGCAACGTGCGACCTGGAAAACAAACATGCGTTTCAATTAACCCTCGATACGCCATACGTTTCTGTGGACAGGCAAACCTACCCTATTTGTCTATTACAAGATCACAGTACAACGACAGCTGTTGTGATCTCAATCACAGTACTTAACACTATTTCTACCGAAGGTGTCAATACGCACCTTTCAAAATTTTCAATTATAATTATTTTCTCAGTTCAATTTAGTTAACCCCTTGGCCTACGATTTCTTTCTCAGCTCTGGTCGATGCGGCTACTTTGTCGTTAATAATTTATTGGAAAAAGAGAAAAGTTCTAAGCACATGTTATGCCTATGTTTCCTTTTAAGTATAATAGTTGATTATAGAGGAATAATATTAACTTTCGAATTCGGATGAACTGAGTAATATATATATTTGTTGAATCATGCTGAAAATCTTCACGAGTCTCACTCGCTGTTGTAGGGCAAGGGGTTAATTTTATAATCGTTATTGGGAAAGTCGAAAAGCCAATTTAGAATATACTTTCGGCATCTTTGGTAGAAATAGTGTTCACTTTTAAGAGGATAGAGAACATTCTGATCCGTACTGAATCTTTGCACAAGAAAAAGTAGCTTGACCCAATGAACGTGGTCCTCCAATAAACTCTTACCTTTCCGAATATAGATTTCAAATGCCATAAGATGCGTCTCTATTCTATTAGCAGCTAGATCTTGAAGAGGTTGCAGAAACTTGATCGCCTGTTCCAAAGGATCTTCGGCCTGAGAACAAAGAGCCGGTTAGATACATATCCTGTTGCAGCTGATCAACATATAAATTACAATACTCGGCTCGCTGCATACCCTTTCCAATTTTTCAGGTATCAATTCGTCCAGCGTGGGCTGCTCCAAGTCGGGATCGGTCTGCTGCCGAGACTTATTGTGCTGCTCCCTCTTCTCCTGAGCCTGGGCAGCCTGTTGCCGCTCCAGTTCGGCCTTTCTGCGTTGCTTCCTTTGTTTGTTCCTCAACTTCTTCAGCTCCGACGGTGCCAGGTTCTCTGTAACATTTCGAGGCAAAACCGATTCCTTTACACCTTGGTCGCCAGGACACAAGCCGAACAGAGAAAAAAGACAGAAGAGGAACAGAGCGAGGGTACTATCGCTAATTCATCGAATTACACAAATTGCGCGTAATGACTGAAATTCACCGTTGTCCTGAAATTCCAGCCAGCGCAATATCATTCTAATTGCGGCCACGGTAAATATGAGAACGCTGCAGAACCGTGCCCCAGTGGCTCGTTTCGACATACGGAGAGACTTTTACCCGGCGCTGTGCGTCGACCAAGGTCAAACAATGTAGCACCCCGAGACCGGTGCTAAAAGCAATTCCGCCGGTTTCGCAAAGCCTTTTCTAACTTTTCCTCGGCTCCAGCCTACTGGCCAGACCCACCGACAACGGTTGCCGGGTCTGGCATGCGTGCACGTGTCACGCGTGCACCTCGGTCACGTGCAGCCGGCCGACTCTACTCGTGAGACAGCGACAAGCAGCAAAAAGTCTAACCTGTCGGCTAGATCGCGATCGTTCGATGAACACAGAAAGATTTGCTTTTTCTTGTGGTCAAACGTTTACAACAATCGTTCTATTTTCAGACTGCGGGCAACATTTTCTTTCGTTTTCTCTTTCGCGGAACGAGGAATTCGATAAAGTTACACG